TACAGACTTCACGACACCCTTACATGCTTCATACAGATACTACAGCACCTTTTACATGCTTCATACAGATACTACAGCACCTTTTACATGCTTCATACAGATACTACAGCATCTTTTACATGCTTCATACAGATACTACAGCACCTTTTACAGCTACTGTACAAGACCGTATACAGACCCCCCACAGCGCCTCTACATTAACATGCTACAGGTAAACAGGCATTCATGTACAGTGTTCTACAGGACTAACATACCTCAGATACAATAGACCCACAGGTCCTGATAACCACAACTCTTGCCTACACTTCAACCAATCCGTCAACAATACCACAGACTAACAAGAACACATACTGACACACCTTCCTGCTACAGGCACTAATGCGGCAGAGTTTCTAGGTACATCTATGGCGTTTGACACAGACTCTGCAGCTAGACTGTGCACAAGGACACAATGACCTGACTAAACTGCAATCCGTGATAGGTCAATGGTTTATATATCGGTAGCCGATGAACCGCGGATCAAGTAAACAAGCCGACTATGATTCTAATTAGAGCCGCCTCTCATAGCTCACAATATGGTCACATAGAGCAGGCTACATCACGTGTTGTCACCACCCCCAATACAAAACTGTGTTTTCATGACACTTCCATTCTTTTAATGATATTCACGAGTCATGGGAATTCCGTCAACATAATACGTGTATGGCAGTCATTGTATAGTAGGGGTGAGATGGACATAAACGGAGCATTATGTCATTATCCTGATACATGATGTCGTTGTTGACGCCTCTTTCTGCCGCAATTGATGGTGCTCTGTTTGTTGCCGTGGCGATACTATCAGGTGACCGTGGTTACATAGAAACGATGAATTGAGATAGGAATGTGCCCATAAAAAGACAAAAGACTATCGCTGATCATAAACCCAATTCTCTCCTAATTTCACACTTGCTCCCTTCATTACTCGCTATTTGTCACTTGTACCTCGTTTCCATTACACCAGAATGGCACACAAACTATGTGAACATGCCTCTTTAACCTTTCCACCACCTGTCTTCTTCAATGGTATACACTGTATATACTTCTCCCCACTTCCCTCCCTCCCTCCATTCCTACCTTTCTCGGGGTCTCTTCTCCACCATCACAGCTGGCTCTATCTCCATGGCGTTCTCCTTATCCTCCTCCCCTCCCTCCTCCCTCTCTCCCTCCTCCACTTCAGCATCCGCAGCAACCTGTGCCTCTCTCTCCTCACCTCCATCGCCTCCGCAGCCGACTGGAGCAGAGCTATCATCTGATGGCCACGTCGCCCTCCGACTCCTCAGTTCGGTTGCTAGGGACGACGTCGATGGGGTGTGGCCGTTTCTGTCGGTGACCTTGCAGTTTGCTCCGTGTTGCAGCTGTAATAGAAGGGAGAAAGAAAAGGGTTAATACAGATGATTATGTACATACAGAGCCTGTATTATATAATTTAACAACAACCAGTGTGGTAACAATGCATAATCAAAACAATGCATAATCGGTAAATAATGTATATACCAGTATCTGAGTGGCTCTGATGGAGACGTTAGAAGCAGCGATATGGAGGGCAGTTCCTCCATCAAACTCATCACACGTCGTGTGGAGCAGGGCTGGAGATGGAAACAACAGACATTACACCACACTACATGGGGTAAATTTACAATAGGGCTCAGTGCAAGTATCTTGAAAACACTGCCACATTCCCATTCAGCCGTATAAAGAATGCCCATGTAAAGATTCTGCACCCAGCTGCATCTCATATGTAGCTTTCTCTGAAACACCCAAGGATGTCATGCAAAGATTCCACCCAAAAGGCAATGATTTCATTCCGCTCCCTTTACCACATGACAGGGATACACACGTTGGGATTTGTAGGAAGCCTGTTTAACATTTACATACAGTACATACATGTACAGTAGTGCAGTACTTACATGTACAGTGTTCAGTACATGGAAATTCTATTTGAATAATGCAGTGTTGGGGAAGTTGTATAGGTTTCTGCAAGTGCACGTACAACAATGTATTATGTGTTAAAGGTAGTGACACATTTGTAAAGAAATACTGATCACACATGACTGAGTAGGGGAGCCCCGTTAGAAACCATGTAGATAAGTTTCGTCACTAATAATGTACATATTCTGCATGAACTGTACAAGATGTACAACTGTGTGTGTGCCTGGGTAACAGATAATAAGTGGACATGGCATTCAATTATCAGGGGTTGATCATTGTGGATGGTGTGGGTTAGACCTGCTGTAGGACAGGCGAACCCTCATGTAATGTCAAGGTACACGCACATCCTGTACATACTGTTCACACGGGCATGGGCTGCGATAAGCATAGAGAATCGAGGCATATAACTCTGTTGTGTTGTTAAAGCAGCACCCATGCACTACGGACTTTAATGAAGACGCCTGCTACTGTACATCTCACAACGTCCCATGTGTGTAATACTATATACGACAACGCATAAGGCCATATGTGTTGTGTGGTACAGTGCACGTACTATATTATATGTGATTAAAAACGTTCCCATGGAGTAGATGGAGATTGTAGGTACTATGTAGTCGTGTATTACAGAGTACACAAGTGTTATGTGACGGAAAAAAATCATTTGGTTTCAATTCTAAGAATGTTGTATGTGCATACAGCTGTCGCGATGGATAACTACCGTAAGAAAGACTTGGGTAACCACACAGGCCAAAGTTACGGAGAAAGAGAGAGGGGAAGTGGAATCAAACCAAATGCGATGACACCGAGGATAAAACTATTTGTAGAAGAGAGTGGTCTTGGTAGCAATCGAACCACAGCACTCAGCCTACATACGTAGATCTCCCACACAATGGGCAACCATGATTGTAAGGAGGAAAAACAGAGTTAAGGATTCCGTAGGCTCACATGTTGAGATCGCTTGCCAGAACTTGTAGACACCCTTAACACGAGAATCAGTCCGAAATCGGCCAGAGGTGAAAAGACTCACATAGGAGGAAAGAGAGAGAGAGAGAGAGGAGAGGTCTACATGGTTTGTGTTCCAGAAGAGTATCGACGATCTCAGGGACATCAAAGAAGACGGCGTAATGGAGTGCATTCATGTTAGTCCACTTACACCTCAGCTCAGAATCTGCTCCCTGGAGAGAGAGGGTGGGTGGGGTCGGGGGAGAAATGAGACGAAATGAAGAGGATGGGGATAGCAGGGAAAGTGAACACATAAGTCCCATCGATGGAAGAGGGAAAGAAGTGAGGGCCCTTGCCTTGAAGCAACTCATGCAGTATACACATTCCAATGCATTTCAGATCAGATGGCCTTCCATTACACACCACTGACCTCCAAACACTATGTGAACATCTACGTGACACTACGGCAGTCCACTGACTTCCACCATACATACATACGGGACATCTCTACAACACACCACTGACCTCCAAACACTATGTGAACATCTACGTGACACTACGGCAGTTCCACTGACTTCCACCATACATACATACGGACATCTCTACAACACACCACTGACCTCCAAACACTATGTGAACATCTACGTGACACTACGGCAGTTCCACTGACTTCCACCATACATACATACGGACATCTCTACAACACACCACTGACCTCCAGACACTATGTGAACATCTACGTGACACTACGGCAGTTCCACTGACTTCCACCATACATACATACGGACATCTCTACAACACACCACTGACCTCCAGACACTATGTGAACATCTACGTGACACTACGGCAGTTCCACTGACTTCCACCATACATACATACGGACTTCTCTACAACACACCACTGACCTCCAGACACTATGTGAACATCTACGTGACACTACGGCAGTTCCACTGACTTCCCATACATACATACGGACATCTCTACAAACACACACTGACCTCCAGACACTATGTGAACATCTACGTGGACACTACGGCAGTTCCACTGACTTCCACCATACATACATACGGACAGCTCTACAACACACCACTGACCTCCAGACACTATGTGAACATCTACGTGACACTACGGCAGTTCCACTGACTTCCACCATACATACATACGGACTTCTCTACAACACACCACTGACCTCCAGACACTATGTGAACATCTACGTGACACTACGGCAGTTCCACTGACTTCCACCATACATACATACGGACATCTCTACAACACACCACTGACCTCCAGACACTATGTGAACATCTACGTGACACTACGGCAGTTCCACTGACTTCCACCATACATACATACGGACATCTCTACAACACACCACTGACCTCCAGACACTATGTGAACATCTACGTGACACTACAGCAGTTCCACTGACTTCCACCATACATACATACGGACAGCTCTACAACACACCACTGTTCTGCTATATATGGTATTACGTACCTTCAGGTTATAGGGAATGGCAGTACCGTTCAGGTGTCTGTATACCTGCCCAGTCACCCTTCCATTGTCGAGATTCAATCTCACCACGATCGCAATCTGATTGGTCATCGCTACGGCAACCAACACCACGGCACAGCCAACTCAATCAGTCACAAGCAACTAGTAGCTATAGACTTTTCACTTTGTCACACATGCATACAACTCTCCATTATAGTGGCTACAACTGAATGCCCACACACTAGCTAACACCTGCTTTTATAGTCAACCTGTACTGTTCTAATTAAGGGAAACCGTTTTGAAATTCCACAGGAAGAAAGAATCTGTGTTCTAATTAAGGGGAACCATTTCAATATTTCACAGGAAGAAAGAGCCTTTGTGTTCTAATTGAGGGACACCAGTTTGATATTACTGGGAGGTAAACAGGGGTGTTTGCACTGGGGCAGCAGCCACATCCTTGTGAGTAAGCATCCTGTCCAGGAATTGGTGGCAATTAGCGCATTCTTAATGCACAGAGATGGCCCTTTGCTGTTACCATGGAATGCTAACAGTTACAGAGAAGAATGCGGAACTCTTCTAGGGCTGGGTGTAAACCTGGTCATGTGATCCTATGATGACATCATGCAATGTAACAACACATTCTGAAAGGAACATTTAAGTCTCGTCCCCAGACAATGGGAGGGTATGGGAATGACTAATATGCCAGAGGCACGTGAATGTCACATGACAATTTGTCAAACATTGTAGACAATACCGTGCCATAAACGGCCGCCATGTTTAGAAAGAGGAGTGTCGTGTAAGTATACTGACCTCCATAAAGGAGCACCATTGTGCCATGTGTGTGTGTGTGTATGCTGTACTTTAGACAATGTCGTCCTTCAATAGTCACTATTGATTGGGTCAACGGATTTTGCACTTTTGCACTTTGCAAATAATACGCAACGCAAAGTGGAGTAAGGAATTATGACTGTAAAATCACCACGTTGACAGAGAGTGTAAATCTTCTACTGTAATCCATAGGGCTGTAAATCCCAGTGTGTAAAATAGCAGGGAAAGTGTACATTATAGATACATAACCTTCTGGGCTAGAAACATAATGAACGATTACTCATGAATTTGTCTACTAGGAATGCATCGACAGAGAATTTATGTGGATAGCAAAGAAGATTGAGCAAGAAAGAATCACTTTGTGGTGGATGCATCAATGCATACTTTGTTGAGGAGAGAGTTGACAAGGTTGACTGCGGCGTCGATGTTGCCCACTCCGGCTGCCCCTGACTTGCAGGCAAAGTGGAGGAGAGAGAGGTCGGTCAGTCCGTCACGATCGTTGACGTTGGCTCCTCTTCGGAGGACCTGGGGGAGGAGGCATGGGGGAGGGAGGAGAGAGAGAAGTGAGTGAGTGATCGAAGGAGGGAGAAATAATGAAGGAAGAGTCACGGGCTTGACTATTGATCGTCTGTTGTGAAGGTCCAGCGAGTCATTCTCAGCCAAGTTTTGAGGCTTTCTGTCTGTCTGCGGCTCACGCGAGGTTTGACCTGTGCCATCCTTCTTACTATCAGAGTGAGCTAACCTAGTGGTCTAAATGATCCCACACTGTATAATGCATGTATAATTATACATATATCAAGCGTCTACTAACCCTCTAATATCATATATACTCCACCGTGGTCTCTATTGTATACTGCCTATGTATGTGTGTATGTATGTATGTATGTATGTGTGTATGTATGTATGTATGTATGTATGTACCTCTCTGGAGAGAGAAGACATGTTTCTCTGGGTCTGCGGAACCCATTGTCGCATGACTGCAAACAGCTGAGAGATGGTGGTGTTGGAACTGCAGGGAATGGATGGAGACACAATATGGGAATGAGAAGATGTGGATATGTGAATGGGAGAGTGTGGATATGGGAATGTGAACGTGCAGACATGTGAATTGGCGAATGTGGATATGGGAATGGGAGTATAATGGGAGAATGAAGATACGGGAATGTGAGACTCCAGACATAGGAAAGATAATTTGCAGAAAGATGAAGTAATGAGGGAAGGAGGGAGGGAGGAGGGAGGGAGGGAGGGAGGTGGGAGGGAGGGAGGGAGAGGTGAAAAAGAGAAACGCACAAGAGGAAGGTGGGAGAGGAAATGACTCACTCTAGCAGAAGGTCCTGGCAGCCACTGCACGTTGGGTCAAAGAAGCACAGGTCCTTTGCCTGACACTGTGTGCAGAGAGAGATCACACGACGTCAAGGGGCCACCAGACCCAAAAATGCATTACCACGACAACTAAAATGCATCACCAAGGCAACTTGATTGCAACATAATGGATAATCATAATCTCATCACTACCGCCGCTAACACCATGAATGCAATAGCTATGCTTACTTGAAAACTATACTTTGATGTGGTGTATGGATAAGTCTGTATAGGTTCTCACCTCATCACAGAGTGGGGCCTCGGTAGGCTCGTGGGTCATTGTATTGTCGCGAGACGGCACAGTGAAATCTACCAGTGTGAACCCTCCTCCAGACTATATGATGGGGAATCATGGGGGAGGGAGGAGAAATGAAAAATAGGCCCCACGACATAAGGGGGCCTGCACTATGCACAATCACAAAAAGACGTGTATGATTTGAAAAGAAAGAGCTGTTTGCCTAGCCTTGCCTTTCTACGTAGCTTTCTATGTACTAAGTTGTTGAGACATGCGTGTAGTTAATAGGAAGGAATGGGACGGTAAAGGTAAAGCAAAATACAGAAAATGGGAGATACCGACAGACCACTCTAGAAAGAGGTTCGTGATTAGGAGCATTAACGAGGTAATCATCGCAGACCACCGCTAACAAATCTGACCAATCAAAACATGAGTATCGTTAATCTCGGGACCATTAGTAACTCCGATATCGACTTAGACCAAACAAATTAGCAAGTCCCTTTCATCCCGATAATGTCTTCTTTCAGCTCCTTCTTACATCCTTTAACCCCATTGTAATAAAGGATAAACTTGTGGGGATTGCACCCCAAAATCCATTCAAAGTCTTATGGTAAATCTGTACTAGTTGTATATATTACAGCACATTGAAGCTTTGCCCCTTTAGACATGTTCATACACGATGATGCTATTTGTACACTTCAGCTAACACTCTAAAATTTACTAAGTGGTTGATACATTACCACGCATAGTCAATTAGCCAGACTTATCCAGTTGGTGTATATACCTTACCTCGATATTCTGATCCGATCGCGCTCAACGTCTTCAGGGAGACAAGGCAAACGCACAGGCCCGCGTGCGGCAGGTAATCTCATATATAGAACGCCAAGCTTCTTCCGAGAATCGTGGGTTAGTGCGCGCCGAGAAGGACGGCGGGACGGGGCGCGTGCGATATAGAAATTCTACACCGGTATATACTCGGTTACACAATGTAGGCACACACACCCGTACACTCAGGCACAAACACACACACTACACTATAAACTACTCGACTTGTAGGGTATCGTATAGGGGGGGGGGTCAACTCCCTGGAGTTGGCGCGGCGTGGAACGCGAAGGATTTTTGGCGGGAAGCCGCGGGGGACAAGAAGTGCGCTCCCAACACTCACCATCTCTCCGCTGGACCGTCTTTTCTTGAGGAGATCTCGTAGAGATACGAGTGAAGGAAACACAAGACTTGTCGACGAAAAGACGGAACACAATGGGACACTTCGACACGGGGACGAGTTTTGAATCTCCGGACTCTCGAGGTAATCGGCGATATACGGTTTGAGATTGCGCGTCCCTGATTAGTTTACGGAAGTAACGAGCCACGCCCGATTTTTTGGTGCAGCTCACCAGCCCCACCCCTTTTTTTCTGCAGCAGACTCAGTTTCCGAACACGTTCAGAACCGAACCGAGGCGGCGCCACGAGTAATCGATTGGATAATGGGTGGAGCTAAGGGTGGGGTTGTTAGCCGCGGCACCGGAAATATACACTTTAATCATTAATACTACCGGCGGCCTGATATCTCCCCCACATGGGCCGTTTCTGGTGAGTTTAGTGTTCACTGAGCCTCTGCACCTACCGCTCCTGCTTGATTATTGCATTAGTCAACGTAGTTGAGTTCGTGCGTTCCGTTTCACGCCCGGATCAGCGGAGCAGAGACGAGCGAAGGCAGCAGTGAGAGAGAAAGACGTGGATCGTTGACTGTAAAAAGGCCGGAAAGACTCCGAAACGGTATAATACCTAACGGTGTGTGTGGCGGTGTTCGTGAGATTGGCAACGACAGTAGTGTCCTTACTACGGTCTGTACGACTAGCTAGGGTGGTGCGCGCGTAGTATACCAGACAGCTGATTTGTCGGTGCTGAACGACCAGCGACAATCTGCCGTGTTTAGCTACACTCCCCCCATCAAGGTTGGCACACGAAACTAAACAACGCCATTAGCTGCTAAGTATACACCTAAGCCCCCCTATCGTACTGCACTGTCACGGTTACTTCGTTTTCGGAGAACTCCGGCGCGTGTATGTAGCTAATCACTTTAGGGTGGGTGATAATTTTCTGCTGCTTCGTGGTGCGGAGACTTTCAGAGGACAAGGGGCAGGATAGTTTGAGAGTTCTGTTTTGGAAATCTAGAGTTGGATATAAGGTCTTCATCCTGCTGGCCTGTCAGGTGTGTGTGAGTGTGAGTGAGAGCAAGAGAGGGCGTCTTGTTTTTTGGTCGTGTTTGCGTGTGGCATTGACATGGAAACCTGTGTTCACTTGCACGACAATCATGTTTTCAAGTCCCAAACCTCTTGCGTTTATCTGTATATTATTATTATAGACCTCTATCTGTATATTATAGACCTATATCTGTGTATTATAGACGTCTATCTGTATATTATAGACCTATATCTGTGTATTATAGACGTCTATCTGTATATTATAGACCTATATCTGTGTATTATAGACGTCTATCTGTATATTATAGACCTCTATCTGTGTATTATAGACCTATTATCTGTATGTAGACCAACCTGTACACAGATTATGGAGACTCAACTGTAGAGTGGTTCAAAAAATTGATACAGTACAGCTTCGAACGGAGAAAACGCTACAATTTTTCGCTATTTAAATGCCAACTGCATTCGTATAGGGATGCGCATGGTGTACGTATCGTGAGATGTATTGGACTAGTATAATTTATAATTGTGCAGATTTCGCTCGTTTTCTTCTCCTTTCATACACTTTCACTAAGTAGAGTAGGACAGTATGTAGAGCCGCTGTATATATATATATATATATATATAACATCCTTATACGTATGCAGCCTCTGTACTTGCATAGGGATTGGCACTGTGCATTACCTATATACGTAGCATCATAGAGGTTGATGTATTGTACTATGGTCACATAATACGACGTCAAGGATACGCAATCCGACGTAATTGAACAAGTGACTTTTACTGTAGTCGGCCGTCTATTTGGCAAATCTTTGGAGCCAGCCGGTGCGAGAGGTTTGGAGTTATATATGGAGTGGTCTGTACCCTGTTGCTCCCTAGCCAAAATGAATGTGTCGTCTTCGGAAACGACGTTGTGCGTGTTATATCGCAATGTTAATAACGTGCCTCTACAATAAACCTGTATACGTTTCGTGTATAATGCACAACGCGTGTGTCTATACTGTTGTGTCTCGGGAATTATAAATATGGGACGACAATTAAAATGTCGCAGTTTTTTTTGGTCCGCAGAAGCTTTTCACTTTAAAAAGATGATTTTCCTGTTTGTGGAGAAACCTAAAATGTAATGTGTAGTGGATCCCCCAGCAGCCCTTCTCACATTCTTTCTCTTCCTTCTTTCTATGTGTAGTATGTAAGTAAAGCGTGAGCTGTTATTGTACACATTGCCAAGAAGGAAGTTCGTCCCTGTGCGAAACGCCCCAACTTTTTCACAGAGATTTATTTCAAAATGAACAGGCAGAGGATCTGTATCCAGTTTAAATGTATGGCGACATAAGAAATCAACAGGCAGAGGGTCTACAACAGGCAGAAGGTCTGTATCTAATATACAACAAGCAGAGGATCTGTATCCAATATACAACAGGCAGAGGGTCTGTATCCAATATACAACAGGCAGAGGATCTGTATCCAATATAAATCTATGGCGACATAATAAGAGGGCCTGTATCCAATGTACAACAGGCAGAGGATCTGTATCCAATATAAATGTATGGCGACATAATAAATCAACAGGCAGAGGGTCTGTATCCAATATAAATGTATGGCGACATAATAAATCAACAGGCAGAGGGTCTGTATCCAATATAAATGTATGGCGACATAATAAATCAACAGGCAGAGAGTCTGTATCCAATATAAATGTATGGCGACAAAAGATTGCTCAATAGCACGCGGACACAATCTTAGTCACGGTGTTTGCTAGAGGTGTGGTGATGTTTTTGTGGCCCCAACTGTGGACCGTTTTGGGGATTTGTCTCGCAAAAGTCATTGTTTTGAAAACAGAACGATTTGTTTCACACTTCGGCAAGTTTGTTCAAGGCGGTGCAAGGCGCCACCTAAAGAAAGCTGGTCTGTGTATATAAGAGGGCAAAAACCACGAGGTTATCTTAGCCACAATAGCAGCTATTAGGTGCCCACAAGGCCCGCTGTATGCAGTTGCCTTCATAAGGCATTGTGTGTGTACAGCAGCAAGTGTATATTAGCGTGTTCTAATGTTTGCCCATACAATGTCCCCTGCAAAGGGGGCTCTTATTCGCACAATGTTGCATCCAGAGTCCAACAGCATTCCCCTTCCAAGGCATGTATTGGTTTTAAATGTGCGTGTATAATTATATTGTACTATAAGAAGCTATGAAACCCAGTTTGTGGTCGATTATGGGGTTCATGGTGCCTTTGATACACCCACCCATTGTGCTACAAGTACATATATGTATTTTATGTAACGTGGCTTGTAACTTCTGGGTGTCTATCTAGTAGTGTGCTGGCTCCTATAAAGCATTTAATCCCTTGTGAGTGACTGTATACAGGTTTTGGAGTACCCTGAATTGGCTATGATGGCAAGATTACACAACACACTCCTTCCACGATGCCTCTCATCTTACGCACACACATTTACGTACTTATACTCAAGTCTCTACGCTCGCAAATACATCATTATTATACGTTCATATCTGTGTAATAATCAATTACCCTGTTTGGCATCCATTTGTACTACCGATCTTAAAACTGTGCTGGTAGCTCAGTTGGAGTAGAGCGCTCGCCTAGACTGCAGAGTGCCGTGGGTTCGAATCCCACCCAGGGCAGCTCTTCTTCCTTTCTTTGAAAAGAAAGAGCTGTCCTGGGTGTAGTTGACTTGTTTGCCTTGCCTTGCCTTTCTACCTCGTTACCAAGTTGTTGAGACATGCATAATAAACCCATACACAGGCAACATACCAATGGCTAATGTATCTCTCAGTGGACATGTGGTTGAATATGTACACATACACATTCCGATGGCTAATACGTGCTTATAAATTGTGTAGGTGGTAGCCAATTAAGACTAATTACGTCAATTTTCATGTTTTGGACTGGAAGTTCTCTTAGTGTCCGCCATTGCTGTGGTCTTTCTGGTCTCCAGGAATTTTCAATCCGTTTGTTGTTTCAGTTGAGTTTGGTCACCCGTGCAATCCGAGACAGTGAAAACCTGAATACTGTATCACTAAGTAAGGTAGGTACTAGTATATAGGGATGACACAGGTCGTCCTGCATTATGCCCATACATTTGAGATTTTCATGTTTCACTTTCAGTTTCAATCAGGTCCATATACCTTGGGGACTGAAAGCGTCTTTCAGACTTCCTTTTTTAGAGGTTTGAGAAGTACAGCAATGTGTAAAGTTTGACCTGCGGACAGGAGGTGTCATATCCATATAGTACATAATTATACATAATTATAGTACATGATGATATCCTGTGTTGTGTAAGAGTGAGTTTCTGAGTTCAATGACCTTTCCCACTATCAGGTGTCAGGGATGAAATATATATATATACAGCAGGGCAGCAGTTATACAAACACGCGTGCATTCATTTGCAAGGACGTAGCAAGGCAGAGCACTCTGTGTTCTAGAGAGGGCTCTACCAACTGAGCTACTGAGGCAGCTCGGCTGGCTGGGCTGAATCACTCTTACAGAGCAAGGCAGAGCCACTCTGTGTTCTAGAGAGGGCTCTACCAACTGAGGAGCAGCTCAGCTGGCTGGTCTGAATCACTCATACAGAGCAAGGCAGAGCACTCTGTGTTCTAGAGAGGGCTCTACCAACTGAGGCAGCTCAGCTGGCTGGTCTGAATCACTCATACAGAGCAAGGCAGAGCACTCTGTGTTCTAGAGAGGGCTCTACCAACTGAGCTACTGAGGCAGCTCGGCTGGCTGGGCCGAATCACTCTTACAGAGCAAGGCAGAGCACTCTGTGTTCTAGAGAGGGCTCTACCAACTGAGCTTATGCTGACACGTGCAACAAGCTGGCCCAGACACATACATTTTGTCGCCATCACTGCTAAATAGCATTCTTGGCCAAGTAAGTAAGTTGTTTGTTCTATTGCATGTGATCAGCTGCAAATGTCACTCTTGGCTCTCATGACTTGGCAGCATCATTCTTTTCGCTCCAGCGGGCATTTGTCACTCTCCAAATCACCGTGGATACGTTATACCTACTGTAAATAACAACATCTACTGTCATTCGATGCAGTCTCAATGCTACCAAAGAACTTCGCTTGGCAAGGCAGTGTGATGTGGTAATTGCTGTGTCCTGATTTTATTTCCTGGTATCAGGGATGTGAAGGCCTGCGTATTTGGAGACTAACAGGGCGTGGAGGCTACAGATAAGTGCATATATAGTAATCAAGCTATGCCCAGCTTAGCTGCCTCAGTAGCTCAGTTGGTAGGGCCCTCTCTAGAACACAGAGTGCTCTGCCCCTTGCTCTGTAGAGTATCAGCCCAGCCGTGAGGCTCAGGAGCAGTGGAGGGCCCTCTAGAACAGCGTGCTCTGCCCCTTGCTCTGTATGAGTGATTCGGCCCAGCCAGCTGAGCTGCCTCAGTAGCTCAGTTGGTAGAGCCCTCTCTAGAACACAGAGTGCTCTGCCTTGCTCTGTAAGAGTGATTCAGCCCAGCCAGCCGAGCTTCCTCAGTAGCTCAGTTGGTAGAGCCCTCTCTAGAACACAGAGTGCTCTGCCTTGGTTTTTGGGAACACCCAATAACTGCCAACTATGTAGCACAGGTCATTAGCCAGCAGCACATAGTGACAGATAATATGTGACAATTAGAGCTGTCCTCCCACTCTCCTGCGTCACTCCTACAGCATAGCTCTTGAAACTCCCCTTACGATCTACATGTATATACACACTCACACAATGTGCAAGTGCATACACGAACCATACAAGATACATACAGGACTGTACAAGCAGCACACTAGATGTATATACAAGAGATGTACATGAATGTGTACATAAACTACAGGCAGTCTTGTGTGTTGTCTACATGCTGTTTACATGTGATACATGCAGGGCATGCCTGTGTTGCTCAGAGCATCACCTGTTACCAGAAGACCTACTATACACACATACTGCTGCAATACTGTTACCAGAAGACCTTCCATATGCATACACAGTGCAATACAAACACCGATATACCAATACATTATATATGGTGTGAATGCAACGCCGTTAACTAAGTGTTGCTGCCCCATAAACCACATTTAGACACAGTTTGTGGTGCGGTAAGATTATACTGTGTAGGTCGAGGTATCATCCTACCGCCGGCGCCGTGTTGTTTGTTCCGTTAAAAAACACATGTTTCCTGCTCCTCGTGAAACAGAGTAACGACAAATACGTTTCCGCGTAGTGTCACGCTCCATTGCTCGGGGAATAATTGGGTCCCCATGACAATGTATGTTTTTCGCAGACACCAGGCGTGACTTAGACGAAAAGTCATGCACTCGTCTGTTGCTAGTGGCGACTTTCCTCTCCTATCATAACACCTAATTACATTACTATTGTAGATCTCAGCGTATAATATTGTACATTTCATACATTTTGCTACATGTAGTTTTTGCTACATGTAGTGTTTGCTACGTATATTACGTGATACATGTAATTGAGCGTAATTGGTGTAAATTGATACGTGATGTTGTCTTAACGAGCCCTGTACCATATACGGACTGTGAATGTGTGGTGCCAATCTATTAGTAGGTTTAGTTTGGTATGCGTTCGTCTTTTGATGTTGGCTTGGGTGGATACAAGTGGATAGATTCCGCCCGTGGCATGGGGTGTGTGTATACTTATACGTCTACGTTTGTGTTTTTGTTGTGTATTGGGGTGTGTGTGTCTTTGAGTGAGGTCGAAAGAAGAGCTGATTGAAGATCACAACACCACGTGCGCAGTTTTTGTTGACTGACGTGCTGTGGCTACGATGTGCGTGGGGTTACGGACGCAAAGAGTGTGTTGTTGTGTAGTAAAAAGGGTTTATGAAATGTGTACTAAAACGGTGCTTTTCCCCCCTGTGTCTACAGGCTGACCAATCAGAAAGCTCGCCTGGTGTGATGTCACATGATCGACGGAGGTATGATTACCATGGCAACTACCAGAACTCCGACACGCCCCGTAGTAATGGAATAGCAGGTGCCACTACAAATCACGTGGTCGGCAAGTCACACCCTGCGCAATCCATGGATGGGGCAACCGAATATGAAAGCAGGACGGCCCGCATTGAACTCAATGGCGCGTCGACTCCAACTGGACCAGCAATTACTCCCTTTAACGACTTCTCTTCTAAGAGACGACATCACCATGACCATGACGACGACATTGACATTCCTGATGGGTATCCAAGGCAACATGTAGAAACAACAGACGTGATTGGTCCAAGTGTGTCGATCCCTGATCACCTCGTAACTACGAGACAGTCCAGATTAGAATTCTATGTTGAAGGAACGGATGGTGCCAGTGTCAGCAAATCGTACGACGTCACCGTCAACCAATCAGATCGCGGCAAAAAGCGAGAGCCTCCGCGACAACCGAAAGTCGAGTTGTTGACCTACAAACCACACTCCGACGTCGTGGAAACGGGAGAAGATGCCTTCCAAGAAAGATTCGTTGGTGAGGCGGACATGACGTTGAGCCAACAGGAAACTGCGTCGGACATCGATGCCAAAATCGTGGAGATGGTCCGAAAGAGGAAGATCAGTCAGGGGACCAGTAGAACCCCGAAGCCCGCAGTGCTTCCAACCACGAAGGAGAGCATGAAGGAGGTGATGAACATGGCGCCCGAGAGAAAGAAGAAGACGTCGTGGACCGAGACGAAGAGATTGGGGCGAAAGACAGTCCACGGGGTTCCGTGGGAGGCCGAGAATAAACCGGCGGTCGAGCTAGAACGTGCCGAGAGTGCTAGGAGAGAGAGGGACGCCAATTCGAAGAAGAAGCTTGACAAGAGGCGGCAGAAGCAGGCAAAACTGGACGCGAGGATAAAGCTGGTTGGCTTCAAGAGAGTTGGAGAATTCAGCACTTCACCGCCGATACCGGAGGAAAGCGAGATGACAAGCGTCGGTATCAGACAGAGTAGCTCGCTGAATTTCATGCCCTCTGACCCCGTCGCTTTGCCGAGAAAAATGGGTCGGTCGGCTGGAGGGAAAGACACAATCAGTGCCTCTAGCTCGTTTGAATTCCGGACAGCTTTCTCGCCAACACACACCCGAGTGTCTCCCACGCAAGAATTTGGACCCCTGAGAGGGGTCGCTTCCGGGGGGCCCCCTGTTATGAAACAGAAACTGACTGCCACTGCGTCGGTCCCCGTGGCTTCATCTTTTCAAGACGCAGAAGATTGTCGAACTGTCTACCGACCCAATCTGAAGGAAACGAATCTCTCTGACGTAGCGGTGTTCGGAAAGCACTTTGACCCCAGCCAGCTGACTCAGGAGAGGATGGAGATGAACATCGGCGATCTCAGCTCTGTCGGACTGAATCAACCGCATCCGCTGAAGAAAAGGGGAGAACGAGAAAGAGAGAGAGGGAGAGGAACGGAATTTGTTTCGGAGAGTTTGAAAATGGACAAAAGACATCATAGGGGACCCAGATCAAAAAGCGAGACTGTCTCCCCTAAAAGGAAGGGCAAGGGAGCGAGCGAGGAAGGGAAGTTGTCGAGTTGGGAAATGGAGGTGTCGGCTCACGCAGCTCGGCATTCCTCAGTTCTGTCGACGCCGTCCCGTTACAGGATGGGACGGCTCTCGCACAACTTCCAAGAGCCTGTTGTCGACGAGAGCAATGTTTTCGGGGACGAACTGCCGCAGGGTAGCATGCCCGACATCTTCCGCCCGAGCAAATCCCTCTCTCCCAGCCACCGCAAGACACAAGGGGTTAAAGAAGGAACTCCCGACAGTGGAACCTCAGACGAGGAAAAACCGAAAAAGAAACGATCGATCGGTTACGCACTCGGCCGAAAACTGAGCACGAGTATGAGAGAACTCTTCTCGAAGGAGAAGAGGAACCCGACGAGCGGGACCAGGTGGCAGTTTGAGGTCGGCGGCGGTCTCTACCCGGCGCCCAGCGAGCCGCAGCTGTCGGTCCTCACCGAGCAGGAGAGGAGGGAGATATTGGAGGAGACGGAGGTGATGCCTAGGACGCGGAGTACGGAAGTGGTGTCCTCATCGGAGCAGCAGCATCAACAGAACACGAGCACACCGGCGGCAACCGGCAAGGCTAGTGGTGGCAACCCTCTAGCTCATCTCTTTGTCCCACCACCTGGAATGTCTATTAGTAAGGGGAGGACAGACGTGAAACAAAACATGCCGAGTGGGTTCTACGATGAGCGATCGGTGGACGTGGGACCTCGATCGCCACGGAGATTAGTTGACTCGGACAACGCCGAGTACGACACTGCGTCTGATTCAGAAGAAGGGTATGCGAAATCGTCCGTGAATATCATTACCTCAAGTCCACCGCCCGAGTCTGCACTGAGAGAAGCCGGATATTTCACAAGAACTGAGAAGCGAGAAAACAGAGAGACCTCACCTAAAACCATTTTGACCGCCTCGCAAACCGGTTCAACCGGGCCGCAAACTGGTCTCCCGACCATCGTGGAGAGATCTCCACCCAGAAAAGATCCGTTTTCTGGTTACGAGATGCCAAATTCGGAAAGCGCACCTATCGTGAAAACCTTGGACGGTATAGTGGAGAAAAAAGGAGGAAAGAAAGGGAAAATGTCGAAGTCTTCTACCAGTGAAAGCGTGAGGGAGAGCGTGACAAAGAAGGACGAGTCGAAGAAGGAAAAGAAGCCATTTTTTAGTTTCACGAAATCTCGTACCGTCATCCAGCGCGGTACTCACAGTCCCAGACCGGCGTCGCCATTGTCTGTACCCGGTTCCACGTCAGATTCCCCGCGATCCAGCGGGCGACTGTCTCCCTCACAGAGACCCGGAACTAAACCTGTAACAGCAGCAGCAGCTGCAAAAGTTTCCAACACAGAGTCGACTAGACGCGGATCTAAAACCAGTCTAGGTGAACGTAGCGGTTCCCCTAGTGGAAGTTTTAGAGGGGGCCAGATTTCTCCATTCTCCCCGGGGGGCAGAGGCTCTCCACGGGGGAGTTTTAGAGGTGGAGCGGTTTCCCCACTCAGATCGAGCATAAGAAGTACCACGTCTGCCACTGGGGGTCCTGGGGGGCTAAATTCTGGGAGGGGGAGGGGGGCGAGCTCTCCAAGTCCCGGGGGGGCAACGAGATCGCCAAGGGGTAGCATCCAGGGAGGGTCTCCACGCGGTAGTGGTAGGGGTTCCAAAATTCCGTCCCCTAGTGGTGGGTCTCCACGTGGAAGTGGTAGGGGTTCCAAAATTTCGCCCCCTAGCGGTGAGTCCCCCGGATTGAAGACCCCCTCACCAAAAACCAGCACGCAACTCAACACCTCGAAGAAGCTCTCTCCCGTGGTGACCACACGGCAGCCGCCATCGACAACTGCAACTGCCTCATCAGCAAAGGGCAAACGTCGACTCTCGGAACCATTCATCAGTCCCAGTCCATTCTCGCGATCGCCCAGCGAACGCCACTCCAATGCATCCATCGGCTCTCGCAAACCGGTCAGAAAAGCGCCGCCTCCACCTGCGAAGGCCTCGCAGCAGAAGACACCGGGGCCAACTGCCGTCTCCCTCTCGCGCACTTCCTCCCAGACGTCCACCGGTGGTGATGCAAACTCCTCGTCTTCTTCGTCCAGCCCACGGCAGAGAAAGAAGGGAATGTCAATGTCCCAGTCACCTCTCAGTCCAAAGAGACTCTCGTCCGCTCTGCTCGAAAAAGGGGCCGCCTCAATTGCAACAGCGGGCGACGACGTTTTCAAAACACCAACCGACGAAAGAGTCCAAGAGGTGGATGAAACCGAGAAACTGATGAAATCGATCAGAAACAAACTCGCCTCGCTCTCCGAGAACACTCCGCCAGAAGAACACCTGAATCCTATAGATCGCCAGACACAGTTTGAAGTCCCACCTCCCCTAGATCAAACCACGCCCACTGCCACGCCCCTTTCTCCAACCGGCTCTGATGCAAAGGTCCCGACGTACAAACTCACTCCCTCTGGTGAGTTGAAAGTCGAAGGTGAAGAAGAACGGAAGAAAGAGGTGGAGGAAGTAGAGGAGGATTTTACTGCCTCGGTGACCCCAGGGTCCAATCGTAGAGGACTCCGCCCAAAGACAGTCATCTCCGCCTTGATTGGTGGGAGGGGCAAGAAAAAGGGGGCAGCTGGTACCGTGACAACAAAAGACAACTCTAATGCACCAGGAAGTGGCGGGAGCTTCAGAAAGGGGAAAGGCCAACGCTTCAGCCGCAGAAGGTGGTACTGGCACAAAGGCAGCTGCAAGTTCTCTATCGGAGCCGAAACCGAAGACTCTGGTAGGAAAACCACCACAAAAGGGCGGAGTCTCGTCAGGGCTCCCTCCACGGGGACCATCAATACGAGGAGGGAAATCTGGAAGCAGCATTGGTGGGGGTCGTTCGCAGAGCACCATCGCCGTGCCAACCATCCAAATAAGCGAGACTCGGAAGAGCACCAGAAAGGTGTCCAGTCATGCCACTGTCGGCATGGCAACCTCCTCGGGAGGGCTCAGATCGTCGCGTGGCAACGCTCTGGGGAGCCAGGCGAGTCTGGTGCGGTCGAGCATCCGTGTGAGCTCCAAACTGAGGAAGAACAACCCAATGTCCCCCGAACATCGAAAAATCAGTTCCCTCGGTCGTCACAAAGGCGGCGAGCGACCCCCCTCTCGGGGCTCCATGCACTCGCTGCCGAGAAACAGCACGGCTGCGCGGGTTTCCATGCGTCGCCCGGTGCGCGTTGCCCCGGTAGCGCCGGGCAGAGCTCCTTCCCGCAAGGCGTCAACAGCCGTGACGGCCGCCGGTAACGAGAACAGGAGAACGTCGACGGCAAACAACTTGGACACGAGACGGACTTCAGTGCTGAGCAAATCCATGAGGAAGACGAGTACAATTCGCCCACAGGGCGAAGAGTCCCTCAATCGCAGTGTGGCCACACGCAGCATGAGGATGTCCAGCTCTCGTCGGGTCTCCGCGCTCGGGACAATGCCTCGGTCGTCGGTGGTTACAAAGGTTGCCGGCGGCAACCTCCAGACATCGTCGTCGGCGGGGGCGGGCGTGGCTCGTAAGAGCATGAGGAAGGTGTCTTCTCAGTCGAAAGACGTGTTCGATGCGTTTGACAAGATCAGTGCAGACTGCTCAGGGGAAGCTGTAAGCTCTGCACCGTTTGATGTACACATGTGTGTAGTACATGTGAGAGTATTGTATGTCAGAGTATTGTATGTCAGAGTATTGTATGTGAGAGTATTGTATGTCAGAGTATTGTATGTCAGAGTATTGTATGTCAGAGTATTGTATGTCAATGAGACTCTACAAGCAGTTGTAATGTATGACGTGTACACAGCCTATTGTTAAGGGGCTTCACCAGCCAATGTATTGTCTATTGGCTCGAATCTAGCGGTGCTTCTTGCATATCTTCCGGTGTGTGTATCTATAATATCTATACAGTGGTGCATTTTTTGGTGGTTGACCCGATAAGATCAGTGATAGAGCGTACGTACCTGCACGCCGTTGAATAGCTTCCCTTTCACGGTGCATATTAGCAGTTAGTTATCTAAATCCTTAGCGTTCTTCGACTTTATAGCTATTTTGTAACTATAAAATAGCATGCATACATGTACTGTATTAGAGCTTCAAGACATTCCCTGTCTATTGTCACATGAGACCTTGCTGCAGGTGTGTAAGTGTTGTGTGACTGTTTGTCAACACTCATTAGCTCTGGCTCTTTTTGCCGGTGTCTCCCACCCTCCCCACCCTCTCTCCCCCACTCGACTTTATCTCTCTCTCTCCCTCATTCTATTACCTCCCCTCACACACACACACACACACACACACACACGCACGCACACGCACACGCACACACGCACACACACACACACGCAGTCTGACCTCCTCCGACCATCGTCGTGCGGTGAGACCAAAGCTCCGTCAGAAAGCCTCCTCTGCCCACCTCCGTCTCCTTAGAGACCGAGAGGACGTTACCACGGAGATGCTGACTCCGTCCTCCGACAACAGTGGTTTGGATTCCAACTCGTTCTCAACATACATGGGTAATGGCATATGCTTGTGGGAAGCAGTTGTAGCAAGAGACAGTGGTAGTTCTGTTGTTTCTTTAAAAGCAGATCCTCTGTATAATAAGGCTATCATAGCCCCATACATCTACGATGCTAGGTACCATGCCCATCCCTATATACTAAGTACAGTGATCCTGCTGTTCCCAACACTTGACTCTGTACTGAATGAACAAAACTCCCTATCATAGCCCCATACATCTACGATGCTAGGTACCATGCCCATCCCTATATACTAAGTACAGTGATCCTGCTGTTCCCAACACTTGACTCTGTACTGAATGAACAAAACTCCCTATCATAGCCCCATACATCTACGATGCTAGGTACCATGCCCATCCCTATATACTAAGTACAGTGATCCTGCTGTTCCCAACACTTGACTCTGTACTGAATGAACAAAACTCCCTATCATAGCCCCATACATCTACGATGCCATGCCCATCCCTATATACTAAGTACAGTGATCCTGCTGTTCCCAACACTTGACTCTGTACTGAATGAACAAAACTCCCTATCATAGCCCCATACATCTATGATGCTAGGTACCATGCCCATCCCTATATACTAAGTACAGTGATCCTGCTGTTCCCAACACTTGACTCTGTACTGAATGAACAAAACTCCCTATCATAGCCCCATACATCTATGATGCTAGGTACCATGCCCATCCCTATATACTAAGTACAGTGATCCTGCTGTTCCCAACACTTGACTCTGTACTGAATGAACAAAACTCCCTATCATAGCCCCATACATCTGAGAGGACTGGGACATTGACATTCCCTTCTTTCTCCGTACTTAGTGATTTACTCACGGTTGCAACGTGACGTGCAGTACAGTACGAGTAAACCAGTCCATTGTTTTCCTGCCACGGAAACGTGGTATCAAAGGTGGACGTGTGGGGCCCTAATTAGAATTTCCTGGGAGTGTAAGCATGTAGGGGGGCTGTTATGTAATGAGAGCTGGTGCAAACAATTCACACATGATCGTCCTGGTCCACATGTGATATATGCATGTTACGTACCTACAATGCACAGTCGTGTTATACCTACATGGGTTATACATAGCACCTTAGTAATCATAATATGACTTTCCGTAGCTTATGACCAACATGTAGTGTATATTGTTGACAACATCCTATGCATGTACAATATAATATAGCGTATGCTTGTACATTGACAACCGTCGTAAACTCCCAAGACCGTATATATACCTATACTTGGATGTAATATGTCACCCCTATACACACCCATTGATATAAACAGTCACAATACGTGCGTATGAGCTCCCCATACCACCGTCCGGGTTGCATAAGCATATTGTGTGGGAAGATTGAGGCAATTATGTACCATAATCAGCACACACGTGTGGTGTATACACTCCTTAATGTTCGCGAGCGAGGGATAGCCACGGCCAGCGCTGTATATAACAGTTGCTCCCACTTCTACTGTCGCATTATGCTTCAGGTCGGGCTAATATGAGTGTAGAGTGTTCTGTTTCTAACTTACGTAGTTTCTCTAACAGCTTATTGCGTAGTTTGTAAGTTTGTTAATACAACTCCAACGGATGATTACGAGTCAGTTGTTAAGTTTGTCTGTTGGTAGATAGTATCGGAGGTGTGGCAATAACCACAAGTCGTTAACAGTTTATTTCGACGTGCGTTTATATACAAAACTCGAGTTCATAAACAGTAATCAATGATACAGTGGTGAATGATAATTTTGATAAATTTGATCGGTGGAAGTGAGTTTCGACTAAACCCCGGAAACAACATACAATATTATTGTTGAGATCTAAGCTTACTATCACCATGTGGGCCTTTGGAAACACCTGTAAGTGCACAATAATTATGATACTGACATGTCGGATTACGTAATACGGAATAGCAAGAAATATTCAGTTAACTTTACGAGACGTTAAAATTATTGCTTCGACCAGCAATCTACAAAATTCTCATTTCTGGGGTTTATGCCTGCGAGAATCTCCTCTTTACGAAAACTGTCAGTGATTTCTAAAGCCCTATTGCCCTATTGTATAGTGCTTTATAATGTTCACGGCAATTTGTAAGCTATATACAACGTGAGCAGTAATCGATGTGTAAACATGTAGTTGAAAGTGCAACTGTCGATAGTGACAGGAATACGGCAATGATTATAATGATTAGACACTGGTTCACTGAATTAAACTCCCGTTGTGTACATAATGGCCTGTAATTTGTAGCTTATGGGAGTACATAATTAGCACATCAGTTTAGAACACGACTTGTCTTGTTCTCCTGTAGTGCCTGCAGGTCGGATACTTCCGCCCTCTCTCCTCTCCCTCTCCTCTCCCCTCCCTCCCTTCCTCCCTCTCTCCTCTCCTCTCCCCTCCCTTCCTCCCTCTCTCCTCACCTCTCTCTCTTGCCTGCACCAACCATAGTTTGAAGCACTGTTCATAATACACACATGAATGCTTTTGCTTTTCTTGCCACCCTAAACTCAAGTGCATGTATATAGACCTATAGTTTTTATAGTATCTTTGCCTTTTACTCTTCTTTCTCTCTCCTCCCTACCTCCTTCCCTTCCTCCCTCCCTCCCTCCCTCCCTCCCTCCCCACAGCTAAAAAGAACCTGGCGCCCTCAGCGGTGGCCGGTCTCTCCATCAAACTCGACTTCACAACAGTAAAACTGAGGAAGACGGGGATATCGGACAAGATGCTCATGGAGAAGTCGACGGACATTTCAAAAGATCTTCCAAACTTTGCAGTCGGTGCTGAATACGACACGAAACACACGACAATATTACTGCAGATCAAAGGTACATTCAGCATTTCAACTTACGTACTTCTTGCATGTACATATTTTCGATCGTTGTTCGTAATTTTGTCTAACCCAAGAATTGTTCACTACTAAGAACTCGCAAGTACACTCATGTAATATAAGGACACTCCAAATAAAGCACACCTCTCTATAAAAGCACACCTCCAAATAAAGCACACACTCATAAGAGATCTTGGTCTAAGGGGA